CTTTGAAAAGAAGTGAAGGCAAGTAGACCCCAGTCCCCCCATACTCCTTTCAAAAGAAGTGAAGGCGAGTGAATGGATGTTTGAACCTGCATTTCATATTCTTTGCCTTAAGACATCTGTCACGGCGAGTCCCATCGGGATCCGGGACTCCCCTGATGGGCTTGAGGGGTTTCATTCTGCGCTCTTTACAATGGTTTCTTACGCCAAAGAACTGTTCTCTTGCAGACCGGATGGAACCTTTGGGCTTCAAGTTTCGTTCGCACACACCGCTGCCCGCCCAGCACGCACGGTGCAGAAAAGCCACTGGCAGGCCCGGCGAATGGCCCTGAGTGAAGACTCGACCAACCCTGTCGCAGGTGTCGCCCAGAATGTCCTTTAAACCAAATTAAACGGTGGCCCCAGTAGTTCCGAATAGTTCCGAGGTCAACCAGAGTTGATGGTGAAATCGCAGCCAGGTGCGACATTGGGACTGCAGCTGAGGTTTGGCTGGAAAAGTCAAAAAGCCGTGGTTCAGGCGGAACTCAAAATAAGGCTTGCAAAGCTTTGGCTAACTGTACTGTTTGAATATCTAAATAACTATTATATAGTCGTGGGTCTGTGCCGATCACCACAAAAAATAGTGGATGATGCTTAGAAAAGGCTGTTAGGGAAAACATTCTGCAAATAATATCAAATTAACGCAAATCATGCTGCACATGTATAAAATATGTGTTTACCGACTTACTTGGTCGGAAATTGCAAAACTCATTGGAAACGGGACAACCCCAATGTCTACACCGAACCAAAATCAACACAAACCTCCCAAGTTCCCATCTTCCCACGCCCAGCAGCCACACCAGGGGCTTGTCCCTTCGGCTGCCCACTGCGCCACTTCCGCACAAGGTAGGCCTGGCCCACAAATGTACATCCTGTCTTTCCCCAAACCCACAAGCTGCATGTATTTAAGAATGGATAGGGAAAATCCCTATACATAGTATCGGTGTCCATATCGACTTCAAACCCCAAGGGCAAAACTAAGAATCCCAGACACTCCATGGGACTGCCATATTTACATATACATTGACCCCTTTTACCACCACCCGTCACCACCGTTTTCAGGTCGGCAGTCCGACTTGGCAGTCCCACCCCCACGTCGTGTCGTGTCTGGTTGACTCAACGCTGACGATCACCAACCCCATTGCTGCGACCGCTCCTTTCGCGGCGACCGCGCCCGGAGACCACGGAGAGACGGTGGCAGGTCCCGGAGACGAGTCGTCCATCCGAGCGCGGGAGGAAGCTCCTCTTGGGATCTCGGGATCTCGGGTCTGCATCCGATTTGGGGGAGGAAGCAAGGTCCTCTGAAACGATGGGAGGCTGTAGAAGCAAGAGTCCGTCTGTCTTCAAAGGGCCCAAGTGCCACTTCCGTGTTAGTACGGTACGGTCAAGGTCCAGGTCAAACCTTTTTCTGTAATCCCCGGAGCAGTGCCATTTTTACTGCGGGACTTTGGTTTCAAAAAAAGCTCTCCGAGCGAGCCACGCTCTTCCCCCCCGGGCAGGGCACGGAGCCTCATTCATCATCGCGAATTTCAGCTCGCGAGTGTTCATGTACGCCACTGTGGAAGGTTCAGGCCTCAGGGGGGATGAAGGAAGGTCAAAGATCCAAATCATCAAGATTGATCCCTGACCAAACATCAAACATCAAACACCAAAGGAAATAGAACTGAAAGGATTGACCAAACATCAAACACCGTGATTCATCCTTTCAGTTCTATTTCCTTTCTTGCACCCCCATCGTTCATCCCACCACGGGTTCATTCCCTGATCCCACACACCAAGTAGCGTGACATGATCAGCCTGGATCCAAAAGGCCTTGGGGGAGATCCGCTGCCTCCTGGGAAGAGCATGCAGTTGGGAAGCTGATTTGGTGTCTTCCGTGGATTTACAGCAGTGCTGCAGGGTCTTTAACGCACCCATTTTTTATGAATGTTTATTCTGTGTCATTTGCGCAGGGCAGGCTTTCACTATCTCACAAAACATCCATTTTTGTTGAGGAGGTGCAGCCTAGATTCACGCACCTCGCACCAAGCTCTCACTGGCTGACTTTTTGTAACTTCATACAATGGTCAGCTTGTCCTTCAAACGGAAGGTCCAGCCCCCTCCCACACACTTGGACCGCGGGGATCACCCCCTTTTCAGGCAGTGGGCCCTCAAAGACATAGACCTCGCCGAGCCCGCTTACTCGAAACAACCCCCAGTGCGCTTCATGCACCCGCCCGCGGTCTGCTAGTCTGAGGCAGAAAAAGCAGAAAGAGCCGTTTCAACCCACAAAAAAATCAAATCACGTTCTCGACACGCTTATACCTTAGCCTTGTATACCGATGATTTTCCAAGCGAACAATCGTGTACGGGCTCGTCTGGCGCAGCCTGCATGATGTCAGCCCAATGCAGCCATGTGTTTAAAAAGAAGAGTCAACAAAATGAAAAATAAAGCAAGAAAGAACTTCGAACGGTGTTGTTTCTTCGGGCAAGGAAGAAGTTGACCGGCGATAAGTTTCCAACTGGGATGCAAGGATGAGAGATGACTAAGCATACAGGGGACAACCATGAACTTGAGAGCCTTTACCAGTAGCAGCTGATGGAGTACGTCTATAATTAAGCCTCGGTAAGACCGGTAAGACTAAGTTCTGGGATGGCGGCGGGGATGGCCAAGGAGCTATAACCTGCTCTCTCTCTCTCTCTCTCTGTGTGTGTTTTCAACCTTTCAGGATTGAAACTCGCAAACGAAATGAATACGTAGAGGGAACACCTCTCCTACGCGCGCAGAAAGACCAGAAGATCCTGAAGCACTCCGGGTCCATGCCGCAGGGTCTACCCCGTGCAACAGCCAGGAGGTTCTCCTCAACCTCAGAACGAACTTCTCAAGAACCGACCCCCCAAGAGCAGCCTTTCTGAAAGCCCGAGGACCCACCAGCCGGATCGATCCCGCGCGTCGCTGGACAGCGACAGCGGAAGGCGCCTCTTGAGAGGGCCGGGGTCTGAGAGGTCCTCACGGCGAAGCGTGGCGAGAGGATGGGACAGTTGTTCACCAGAGAGACGCGAAATCAGAGGGTTCTTCGAGTTTGGGGGGGAGTCCTAGCTAGCCATCTATAGCCGACTTCTCCGACTTCAAGCACAATGAAAGGAAGAACGGCTGGAGACCAGGAAAGAAGGATCCGCATCCAACAAGACCTACCCAACTCAACTGTTTAAGAAAAGGTTAACAAACACCCTGAGGCGCCCATGGCGCCCTCATTTTGGTGTTCATTTCACGTCCGCCAGACGGTCTGGATCCCGTTGAGCAGTCCATTTCGCGTTGCTC